AAAAGATAAGAGATCCTTTATTCCTGCCACAGTGGGGACATTTGAAAACCTTCTCCATGAAAGGGATCGCAGGAAACAAACCAGGTTTGCAGACATTTAGAGCGACTCCAAAATAAGGCAAGAATCAGTTTTTATAATTGTTCATCTAATCCAGAGGTTAGCTCTGGATTAGATGAACAATTTTCAAAACTAAAATACTAAAATAATCAAAACCAAGGAGAGTTGCTCAGCCATCAGGACACATCTAAGGTCTGCTAAGATGTGGTAGGGAGCATGTGGTAGTTTGTGAGGAAATACAAACCTTCACTAAACAGAGGAGGCGGGTTAAGATTTGTTTTGCCTCACATCTATGACGATGTCCTAAAAACAACGCACTAACAATATTTAAGGTCAGTAACATGCTAATGAGTTAGGATCGTTAGCCCTAGCAGGGGCATTAGACCTGCTCCGAACCACTTCTTAGCAGACCTTAGATGTACTGATGATTTATCCTCAGGATCAGGGGGTGTCTAACCACACCCATAGGTTATAAGTATTGAAATGTAGGTGAAGGAATCTCCTCACTAAGCAGGAGATGTGACGAGGGGCGATTTGGCTCCAATGAAACCATTTGTCACATCCTGCATCCATCATCAACATCAAGTCAACTTGACTTAAGTCAGCCTCAAAACATTCCTTTAGTCAACATAAATTTTCCCCCCTCGCAGTCTCCCCTTGCTATTAATTAAATTGGATTTGTGCAAATTAATTGGCGGGCCTTGTAAGCCACCTTATCACATGCAAATTGCTTATTGAAGCAAAGTAATTAAGAGAGAATCGCAGACCCAGGAGCGCCATCTGCTGAGCTCTGGACCCAGACTACAGGTGAAGAAGAGCAGCCAACACTCACACAACTCAATTATATCAGATGGAGAGAAACAAGAGGAAGAGGAGACAAGGGATCTGGGAGCGCGCCCATCCGAACCGTCACACAACAAGAGGAAGTTAATTAGCTAACGGAGATGTGACCGTAGATCAGGCCGCAGGGACGCCACAGCAACACGTGCGTGAGCAAGGAGGCTGCGGTGCGAAGGGAAGATGCTTTTCCAACCTCTGCACTGGGACACGCGCCTCAAATACATTGATCTATGACAAATCCTTCTCCAGAAAGAGTGAGAATCTCTGGCACAAACGTACACATCCCCCCAACTCAATATACATGCTCATCCATCTATCAACTAATAATCATAGATCTGTATACTTTTGTTTCAGCCAGCACTTCTTCTCTACTGAGACAATCCATCCCACCTCACAAGTTTGGTGTATCAAAAGTGGGTTCTTTGAATACAATAGGTTAAAAAAGGCCTCTTGAACCTGTAGTTGGCTACTTTGACAGTGTTTGCCTCACTCAGTGGAACACATCTCCATCAGAGATGATCCGATTGTTGTTGCCTGAGGAGTGTTAATCCACTCTTCTCCAATGAATGTGTAAAGTAGCTGGAGGAACTCCTCTCATGTGGGTGAAAAACAAGGAGGACCTGAAAATAATGGATTTAATAAAAAAGTAATATAAAACAACACAAAAAGTAACCGAAATGGGAACAAGGACAAGAACTAAAACAGAGGTGGATGGACAATGATGGAACAGGAAGTGAAGGAACACACAGGGTTTAAATACAAGAGACACAGGTGAGACACATGGCAAGTACAACTAAAGAAGACACCCGGGCTCACAAGTTACACAATAAAACAGGAAAAATCTAAACCATGACATCTCCAGCTCTGTTGAGTCGAGATCTCCACAAAGAACCCGTGGACGTGCTGTGCATTAACATTTGTTTTATAACACATGCTGTACTCTGAAAAGCACAGGGACTGGCCTCCTGCTGGTTCCCAGAGTCCGAACTAAACCTGGGGGAGGCAGCTTTTCAGATTTATGTAGCTACAATCTAAAACAGTCTTCCTGAAAAGGTGAGACAGGCTTTTCTATATTGATTTATTGTTTAATTGGTTGGAACAGTGCATGTTAATGAAAACAACTCTACTGATTGTAGCCTTGGGATAATTTGCATCCGTTGTCCCACACTCGCACTCACAAACACACACTCATTCAATGTTTTTAGTGGTAGGGGAAACAGGAGCATCTGGAGGAAACCTACACATATACAGAGAGAACAGGCAAACTCCACACAAATCCAGGTTAAAAACAGTTCTGTTTACTGAACAGACAACTGAAGGATTGTCTCTTCACTAACCCTAACCCATTATTTATGTGATATCCAGATAAACTTCCCATGCCCTGCCATGTGTTCTGAAAAATGGCTCTTCTTTAATGTGGATGAATTCTCAGTCAGCTTTGAACAAATCACTAATTTGCTTGTGATTTCAGCTCAATCCCCGGGTCGTCTTTGACTCAAACGTAAATGTTCCTCTTAATGAACGGAGCAGATTGACTTCTACAAATGAGTTCTTAAGGTCAGAGATGTTTTATTAAGAAGTGGACGTCCATTCATTCATTCAATATGTTCATATCAGAAAATGTCATCGCCCTCATTATGGCACTGAGCAATTTAGTCATGTCCAGGAAGTATGTCCAGTCACATGACGTTCTGTGCATCAGGTTTAGCCAAAACTATTTCTCATAAAACATGAAACTAAACATTCAAAAAACTAAGATATTTCGTTAGTGCGTAATCTGTGGGTGTATTACTTTTTTACATTTCTGTCTTGTGTTTTCTTTGTTTGTTAAGATTGTTACATTTATAATATTTAGCAGGTTCCCAAACAATGGATCAAACGTTAGATTATGTTAAAAGTGCATTTGGGTAAGAGCCAAAAGTCTGGCCCTGAAGCTGATTCGCACAGATCTCTTTATCGTCTCCGTAGGGAAATGTGTCCTCCGCATTTGACCAATCTACCCAGTTCTTCACCCAATAACCAATCGGCTGATGTTAATACCCTGCTTTGACCGGACCACAGCTGCAGGGTTTTTGTTATAGGTGTTGCGCCAAGAGGAAACCCACCTAGCCACAGAGAGAAACATGGAAACTCCAGAGCCGCCCAGGAGGACATGGGTTCAAACCCTCAACTGTCTTTCTGTGAAGAATGAGAGCTACACCCTGAGTCGCTATCGATCTAAAGCCTTGTTTCTCAACCAGTGTGGCACGTTTTTTTGGATTGGGAAGTTGTTTACCTTTGGAAATAATCCAATATCATATAATTAGTAAAAATGTGAAATAAAAATGAAGTGAGAAAGATGTTTTGTATCAGATTCAGTTGTTAATGAACCAGGTGTGCATTGGCTCAAAAAGGTTGTTTTGGATTCAGAAAACTTCGTTGATCCCTGAGGGAAATTCGTTTGCAGCAGAATCCCAGCAGAACACGGCGCACACATGACACTGAAGGTACTGCTTGATGGTTTCCACCATGTATTGAAGTAAACAATGAAATAAAGTGCATTAAGCCACTATACAGTGCATAAAAATGGCCATTCATAAATATTTACAAACTTAGCATAGAAAGATTTGATCATACCCTATTATATTTGATCCTATCGGTAAATACAAACACAGGAAATGTCAATTTGTAACATGATCATTCAATAATCAATAACCCGCCCACAGTCCACAAAAAACCCACGTCTGGGAAGAATGGTCAACGTTCCAAAGAAAATTTCATTCTTCAAAGGGCTGATAAATTAGGATGTTACTGTGCGCTGTCTGATTTATAGCTTCATATTACACCGAGAGTAAAAATGCAATTATGTTACAGTAAAATCATAATCCCCATTGTGAATGAGATACATAACGTAATCATGTATCTATAATTAGCTCCAAGCTCCCGCGGAGGCAGAGGTCTTTATAGTTGAAGAACATCTAAGCCCACTTTTGTGCATAGTTGATTTTTGAGTAAAGGGTTGTTCACACCGGACCATGTGTTGCCATCCATCCATCGTCTGCATACAATTCACAGAGCAACAGCCCTTCACTGATCCACTGGCAGGCGGTGAGCCACAGGAGGCTGGCTGCTCTGTCTGCGAGAGCACATAGCCTTGATTTTTCAGCAGGGCTTCAGCCAAAGTAGGGTTAAGTGTCTTGCCCAAGGACACAACGACCACAGAGATCAGTGGGGGTCGGTAAAGAAGGTCTTGTGATGGCTCAAAGGCCAATGCTCTACCAACTGAGCCACTGTGGCCTCACCACCATGTGTTACGTTGAGTTTTAACGCTGGTCACACAAACACAAAGTCAATGGTGACACACGTCTGCATGTGCGTTGCGGCACACAGGTTTGTCCGCCACGGCAGAGGCGTTGTTGCAGTGCGGTGGTGACTCGACACATGCGGCAAACGCATGTGCGGCAACCAATGAGAGAGCAGCAAAGTGGTCACGAGGACAGTGGCCGGTCAGATGAAGGACACACAAAAATAGGCAAAACAAAAGCTAAACCAGGATTAAACAAGGGTTAAACAGGACTAAACCAAGACAAAACTAGGGTTCAACCAGGACTGACAGTAGCTGTAAAAAAGTGTTCGCAGCTACGGAAGTACCAGGAAATAATAAATAAATAATAAATAATACAAAATAATAATAATAATAAATCCATGCTCCGTGAGAAGATACTATCTCGGGACACAGAGACGCCGCTGATCGGCACTCGTGGAGAGGAACTTTACAAAAAAAGCCGCTAGCTTAAATTTGTGATTATCAAAGCCCATCCACCACTTCCGCCCTGCATTTTGCTGCATCGCAGATTCAGATTTTCTGAACTCATGCGGCTGGAATTTAGTGCGTCGCGTCCATGCGTAGTGTGAACACAGCTTAGGATGAACTCGCTCACGGGCTTCTCAGTTGGTGCACACAATACAAGCCCAACAAACTGGGTCATGGACGCGGTAGAGGACGGCTCCTATGAGTGACGTAAATACGTGGAGAATATTGCGTGTAAACTTGCAAATGTTAGTGAAAACAGACCTGCAGCACAGATGTCCTCTGGCGTCTCCACCAAAGACTCTGACACTGATTACTGCACCTGAAGGCAGCACGGACATGTGACACCATCGTGCAGGTGCGCGGTTTGAGAAGACAAATTTTAACTATAAACTATAATAATAATAAATCCAGTTTTGATACCCTGTACACAAACACACAGACACACATAATGTGCACACTCTACACACACACACAGAGTCCGGCCGTTCACAGTTCATGCAGCAGGTTGCAATATAGGCTAAAACAGTATAATAATTACAGTTGGGGAACACAGATTTACAGTCTGTAGTCTCTGTGCCCGTGACAGCTTCTCTCTCCCCATTGTTAACGTCCGTCAGAACACAAAACGACAGGCTGCCCCCGGAGAACTACGACTCACCACGTTTACGATGTCTAATGAAATCCCAACCTTGACCAGCGCGTTAAGCAGAGGACTATGATTAATAAAGTCCAGGGAGCAGCGGCAGAAGCAATTACCTGACATGTTGATCGCCGCGGGCAACAGAGAGTGGGGGAGATGTTCTGGATGCGGGCCGTTGGATCGGAACGTCCCAGAGGATTCTTTTCTCCTGCTCTTTTGCGGGCGCGCCGTAGCTCACATCCACAGGGTCATTAGTTTAAGTAAGTGCTGACAAGTGCAAGTGCGCAGCGCCACGGGCCATCCTGACAGGGATCGCCGACCACAACCATCTGCCCCTGAGCCGAGTGTGAGCCAAGATCCACGGGTGGAACTGGAACAGGCTGAGAGAAAAGAGAGGGGTCCAGATTACACACACTCAAGAGGACGGAGTATTGCCTTAAATATGACGTGATGTTTTTCTCATGCTTTGTTCCAAATGCTTTGCCAAAATACTTTGAAGAGTGTGTGTCTGCTGCCGGACCCTTCACTACATTTAGGAAATGGTGCATTTGGGGCCAGATGTCTTTGTATGAAATCGTCCTTTTATGTAGAGAATATTTTAAAAGCAGTTGACATATTCCTCCCCATGAGTAAACCTGTGGCCTTGTCAGCCTCCCTCCTGCTGGTGTGATGTCACATTGAGAACACACACACATAAACACACAAAGTGCTCTGGTCAGCAGCTGAGTCAGACACAGGAGAAATTTTCTTGAACTAGACGGACTTCAAAACCCCGAGGAGGGGGGGCAGTGCAGTGTGTATGATTCCATTTAAGGCTGTCGTGTGGCCAACTCTACTGCACATTTCAATCTGGAGAGACCAAGACACATTAATGCATTTAGAAAGATTTATTGTTTGGCGCATTGACCCCAGCAGTGACACTTGCAGAGGGGAGATCACTGCTGCTGAGATGATCTCAGACCCCCTGAGGTCAAGCACTGGTGGTGGCTAGAGCATGGTGTGAATGGGGCGCAGGCGAAGCAGGAGCCAGAGCAGGAGGTGGTGGGTGTCAAGAGCTTCAGGAAGGGCTGGTTAGTTGGAAGTGGCTGCTTTTAAGCTGCTGGCTTTGCTGTCAGTGGGGCTGGCCGAGCTTGTGATTGGCTGAGGCTCGAGACTGGCAGAGCTGTGTGAGGTGAGAACTGTGGCATGCAGGTCTTCCTGGTCTGAATTTGCTCTTAAGCTTCATGACGATCCTCATTTTGTCTCTCAAACATAATCTTGAGAATATTCACTCGGGCCTTTCGCATGATAAATGCCATTGCTCAAGTATTTATAATAAAAATTAGGGCTTATCGCATTAACACACGCAGAACAACTGCAACAAATTAGTATTGCGAACAAAAAGCTAAGTAAAAGTAAAACATGGATGGAAAATAACAACCAGTCCTTTAACCTTCATAAATCTAAAATTATGTTATTTGGAAAGCATCAATTCAACTCTTTGAGGTTGATTCTCTTATTTTAATTCAATCAATCAAATTCTATTTATAAAGTGCTTTTCATACAAAAGAAGCAACACAAAGTGCTTTACATTTGGTTAAAAACAATCCCGCCCATGACCCCCCTCCCGACCACCCAACATACCCACCCCAAACCACATATATTAAGAACTCACACACACGCAGACAAACACACACAAACGCACACACGCTCTCGCACACGCCCACACGCCCACACATACACACACGCTCTCATGCTCGATTACACACTCATGCACACACCAGTAACACAGTAAAAACCATGATGAGAGACTTAGCAGGGTTCAGATGCAACCGGCCGAAGAAGCGCCATCCAAGGAGCCGTCTGCACCAGGAGAAGAGAGCCGCCCGTAGCCACAGGGGACGACACAGGACCCAGAGGAGACAGGAAGCCGAGGCTCCAGGCCCCCACCAGGACCAGGAGTCTGACCCCCACAGCCACAGCCGACCACCGCTCCCAGTGCAGAGGGCTCCTCCAGAGGAAACACTAAAAACAATACAAAAAATAAATAAATAAAAATCACTTAAAGTAAAACACTAAAATGTGTTAAAAGGAACTATCATACAATACATTAATAATAGCAATAACAATAATAAATAATAAATCTAAAATAAAATTTGTCTAAAAGATAAATAGAATATATAAAATGTAATAATAAATACTAATCAAAAGCTAATCTATAGAGGTGCGTCTTGAGCTTGCTTTTAAATATATGAATGTTCTCTGCGGCTCTGAGCTTACTTGCTGTATGGTTTTCCACATGTTCATCTTTAACATTATTTAAGAATGACAAGATTTATAATGATGCATTACTTGTATGAATACAAGTAATGTATCGTGCATTGGTTTGTATGTCATTATATATCTGCCTTTTTGTTATTGTTTTGTTCCCCTTGGAACATTATTTACTTGAAAAATTAAAAATAAACATGAAGTCACATGGTTTTCTCAAAGTAAACGTTAATTAGCTATATGTCTTCTCCAAAGTGCTCAAGTCTGATACACTTTAGACTGGAACTATAGTACTATATGTAGAACTATACTGTATCCTTTTCATTTTTTTATAGGCGAGACAACCCTGGTGTTGTTTATTCGCATTATTCTAATCACAATACAGAAGTACATTATTATTAACCACTCTTTTTCCATAAATTCAAAACAACAACAATGCTACCTTGCCCACTGGCTAAGACTCCCTGTGTAGGAAGGCCGCACCTCAGCGCTCCAAACCCACACAACAGATGATGACCCAGCTGCAGATGTCCTTGGCTGGAATCGCTGGGCCTGTCACCGGGAAACTTCGTCTTCAGTCGGTGGGGTGAAAAATGAGTCAATTACCGCGTTGCTTTTGAGAGGATTCCCATTTTTTAGGTGGCGGACAGTCGGTCATTCATCACCAACGATTTCAGGAGGCGAGACGCGCTGCTGACCCCGTGAAAAATCCAAAATGTAATTGATTTAAAAGTTGTGCCTTGGCTGTGCCGGTGTCTGAAAGCACACGCTCTGTGAGTATGTGAATGTGTCCAGCTCAATGAAAGAGCTCATCGGTTAGCTGTGAGGATTCAATAGTTTTTACAAGTTGATGTCATGATTTCAGATGCAAGGCAGGAGTCTATATGCAATTTGTTTGTTTTTTTACCAGTGTGAGAATGTATAGAAGCTCTTACTAAACAACACAATAAAATGTATTCTTGTATAGCCCTAAATCACAACAGAAGTCATCTCAGAGGACTTAACAAACCATTGAAATCACCAACACAGATCAGAGAATCAACATTTGAGACACATAGAATATCGAACGCATGTTGAACAATGTTCATACATGTTGTAGAATGTTAAAGTGTCCTGTATCATCACCACAGTCCTTCTAGTTTGACTGCCCAACAGACCCTCCTGCATCGGCAAGGAAAAACTAGACTGGTCCAAAAAAAATCACAGCCCCCCAGCATTGACAACATCTGGAACGTGCTGAGGGGACCATCCTGTAAAGCTGTTTTTGAGAGGAAAGAAGGCGCCATACAAAAGCCTTGGGCAATTCTTTTTCCGGGTACACCCCCACCGGCCCGGAGTGAGATTGCAAGTATGTCAGCACATGTGCTCATGGACCTTTTTGAGCCGGGACCCGCCCCCACTGGTTTTACTGCAGTTATAAGAATGACAATATTAATACTCGGAAGATAGGATTTCTGATTGAACAGGCAGTCTGTAAAAATCGTACACAATCAATCTTTTTATTGAGTGCTTTTCCTACACAGGGTAACACAAAGCCCGTATCCCAAAAGGCATAAATTACCACATCAATAACAAACAATAAAGTCACATACAGCATTACAAATATTATTAAGATCACATAGAACATAAAAACAAACATTAAAACACAGGATTAAAGTCATAAATAACCAAAGTGCATTCAAAAGAGTATTGATAATTGCTTCAGTTTTACGAACAGGAAAACAGAACTGTCTTATACCTGAAGTTGAACACCCTTTTATCAAAATGAAAGTATTTTTGCAAAAAGTGAGACAAATATTGCTCAAATTTGGCCAGATTAAGATTTCTTAATCTTTTGAAATGAGCCTTAAGGTGAGGCTCATGAACACTTCATTGTCTCCGTGGGGATATTCGTCCTCTGCATTAAGATTAGAGATAGCAAAGCAAAATAGTCTTGTTTTAAAATGATTCAAAAAATGTGTCCCACGGAATGAAAAAATAAGTTCTTGAAATAAGACTACATGGTTTTGTCCCATTGGAAAATCTTGTTTTAAGTCAGTCAGAATGTACTCAAATCAAGAAAAATAACCACTTAATTCAAGCAATTTTTACCTCATATTTTATTATACCATTATCTGAGAGGACTGATAGAAGAGCTCTGAGAAGACTGATAGAAGAGCTCTGAGAGGACTGATAGAAGAGCTCTGAGGACTGATAGAAGAGCTCTGAGAGGACTGATAGAAGAGCTGTGAGAGGACCGATAAAAGAGCTCTGAGAGGACTGATAGAAGAGCTCTGAGAGGACTGATAGAAGAGCTCTGAGAGGACTGATAGAAGAGCTCTGAGAGGACTGATAGAAGAGCTCTGAGGACTGATAGAAGAGCTCTGAGGACTGATAGAAGAGCTCGGAGGACTGATAGAAGAGCTCTGAGGACTGATAGAAGAGCTCTGAGAGGACTGATAGAAGAGCTGTGAGAGGACCGATAAAAGAGCTCTGAGAGGACTGGTAGAAGAGCTCTGAGAGGACTGATAGAAGAGCTCTGAGAGGACTGATAGAAGAGCTCTGAGAGGACTGATAGAAGAGCTCTGAGAGGACTGATAGAAGAGCTCTGAGAGGACGTGCAGAACAGTTTATTATTGTATAAAAAAATGCATTGAGAGTTTCTCCAATTAAATGAAAACGTTGCAGTCAGTTCAGTACAGGAGATTTATGCTTAAATTCCTCGTTGGGGCGATTTCTTAATCTTTTGAAATGAGCCTTAAGGTGAGGCTCATGAACACTTCATTGTCTCCGTGGGGATATTCGTCCTCTGCATTAAGATTAGAGATAGGTGATACAATTCTTTATTCGTTTCTCAGTGGAACATCACCAGTTACACAACAACAGGAATGAGGAGTACACAGCACAACAACAATACGTCTACTATAATAAAATATAATCTAACTTTATCAAAGAAGAAAGTATAAAAAACTCAAATACTTTTTCACCAAACCTGTCGGGAGCACTGGTTGCTACAGTGCAATGCCCAAGTTTACATCCCCGAATATTGATAGTGGACTTGGTGGACACAGAGAGAAACATGTAAACTACACAAGAAGGGATCAGATTCAGATTCAGTTTATTTGCCATTTGCAGTAAAAAAAACCACATTGGAATACGTTAGCAAAAGTCACCAGTGTGCACAGACAAATACAGACATGAAACAACATTAACTCTGTTCACACTGATAACAGCTTGTGGATAAAAACTGTTAGCGTAACGAGATGTCCTGCATCTCAGAGAGCGATATCTTCTGCCCGAGGGAAGAAGCTGGAACATGGCTTTCCCAGGGTGGCCAGAAGAGTCATTAACAATCCTAAGAGCTTTGTTTAAAAGTCTGGATTTATAAAGAACCTCCAGAACAGGAAGCTCACAGCCCACGGTCCTCTTTGCAGAGCGGAGCACCTTGTTTAAAGCTCTCTTTTCTTTATCTGTGATGTTTCCAAACCACACAGACACAGAACCAACGAGTAAACTCTTAATGGTACAGCGATAGAAGTTAAGCAGAATCTTAGAGTTAGTGGTAAATTCTCTGAGTTTACGCAGAAAGTAGAGACGCTGACGAGCTTTCTTAACGACTCGGTCAGTGTTTTTAACCCATTTCAGGTCGTTAGACAGAGTTAAACCCAGAAACTTGCACTCCTCTACGATCTGCACTCGGGAGTTGTCGATTACGACAGGCAAATGAGAACTATTGCGACTGAAGTCGTAGACCAGTTCACATGTGTTTGATGCGTTCAGCTGGAGGTTGTTAGTTTTACTCCACTGAACCACATTTTGTATCTCTGCTCTATAAGAGGATTCATCATTGTCACTGATGAGACCGATGATGGTGGTATCATCAGCATATTTGATGATCAGGTTCGAGTCAGAGGAGGACACACAATCATGGGTATACAAAGTAAAAAGCAAAGGACTCAAAATACATCCCTGAGGAGAACCAGTGCTCACAATTTGAGTGTCCGTGCACCAGCGCTGATTAATTAAAAAGCACACACCTCCGCCTCTGGCCTTGCCCGTGGTCTCCTTCACTCTGTCCGCGCAGTGAGCGGTGAATCCCGGGGGCTGAACAGCAGAGTCCGGGACGTTACCCACAACATTCTTACTGTGAAGCATGAGTTCTGCCTCCGTGCTGCCACAACATTCTCATTTTGACACATTAACTTCTTTAATTAGATAAAAATATGAAATATATTAACATGCACATATGAGCACATGAAGACATAGACACATTTATGGTAAATATTCTTAAGATAATAGAATTATGCACTATGTTTTCAACACTAGTGATACTGTAAGGGCAAAAGTAGCTCAGTTGGTAGAGCATTGGCCTTTGAGCCAGAGGGTCGTGGGTTCGAGCCCGACTCTCACCATCGACTCCCGCTGTCGTTGTGTCCTTGGCAAGACACTTAACCTCTAGGAACACCAGATGGGGCGGCTGCGGCTGTAAAGTGCCAAACTGCCGTTGTGTCCTTAGGCAAGACACTTTACCCCTTAGGCAAGACACTTTACCCTGATTGCCTAGAATGAGTCTGGAGTGTGTGTGAATGGTTGGTGGTGGCACATACTGGTTGCCTTGCTTCTGTCAGTGTGTCCCAGGGCAGCTGTGGCTACAGTAGTAGTTTATCACCGCCGTGTATGGAGTGAAAGAATAATGTGAAGCATCTTGACTGTCCAAAAACGTAATTATTATTAAAATAACTGTCAAAAATATGACACATAAATAATAGTAGCAAAAATACATATGAATATTTCCTGGATAAACATTAGGTGTAATTAGCAGTATCAACATTTCCACTGACGCTCACCACCACTTCGCTGGGAACATTTGCCTTCGCAGGACTGCAGAACTCGGTGTGCTCATGCTATCACGGCCCGCGCTGTCACTTCCTCTCCATCTGCTCCAATTTCACACTCCCTGATTATTGCTGTGGAGAAATGAGCTTATGCCACGGCCCGCGCTAAACACTCATGGACTCTAAAGATCTTTCAGCCCCGGGAGTTATTGGAAAACAGGCGTCGGTGTAGCTAACTCCAGGGGCCTGTGTTTGGCATCGCACTTTGCTTTTCTTTTTGACATGTGTGAGTTGTGAAAGGTGGCGGCTTTGTGGACGCGAGCTGTGAGACGGACAGTCTGGTCAGCAGCTGAGTTAGGACCCAGGAAATATGGACAGAAGTGACAGAACGGCCACGCATACTCTGATGGTAGCATATGTCAGGGCAGTTTTCTTTTTTTTTTCTGCGCAACATTCAATGCAAATTAAATAACACAAATGCTTGTATGTGCAGAGGATGTCATGAAAAAATAAGCAGCAGCAGCATCGCCAGTGGCATCTGAAGCATGCGCAGTAAGTGAGGGGAAATGAAAAAAGGGAACCCAAAATGCAGGATTGAAACTAAAGTCTTGTTTACTAAATTAAATCCAAGGTAATGATCGGCGTGAGCGCTGTAAGTAGGTGCTTTCAATGTATATTTTTCCTCCCCCACAAACATGCAGATTTTTATCTTCTGTCTTTCACTACAACAGGGTTAGTTTCCGTGAAAACACAGTTAACATGAAATAGTTGTTGGAACAACAAACATTTTCATTGGTAGGTAGGTATGTAGGTAGTTTGGTAGGTCGGTAAGTAGGAAGGTAAGTAAAAAGTAATAGAGGGACAATAAAACACCGAACATTTTGTGATTGAGATGGGTTAAATATCAGCATAAAATTCAAAATATTTGCACGTTTTAAGCTAAAAACAAATGTTTTGGTTTTGCCTACAACAAAATATGAATACATGTGGATGGCAGCAGCGCACAGAGGCAGTGGGTGGTTTTCAAACATAATTGGCGGTTTAATGTATTGGGTTTTTTTGCACAGTTTTGACATGTTGTACAACGCCAGTGTTGTATCTCACTGGAGATGGCCAGTCCATCTCCTGGGAGATTCTTAGCAACAACACCACCAGTCAGAGACAGGCGGGGAAGCTTTGGCCACTGCTAACGACCAGCTTGATGTGGCTCATTGCAGAATACCAAAGAAATGAGTGGTGCTGACAGGAGAAACTGAACAATAGAGGATTACTCAAACTTAAAACTTAAGATAATAACATGGAAAAATTGTCTCCTTTAACATTACATAATCCAACTAAACTCTTGCTTCCAACACAATTCCAACACTCCCGGGGTCTGGTGTCTGGCGTCAGACGCCAGACGCTCTCCTCACTCCACTTTCTGCTGATTGGCCTGTGCGCCGTGTGAAGTAAGCGATCCCTCCGTGTTTACTCAGTGGTGGAGGTCTGTGCTTACAACACAGGCTGCCAAGTGCGCAGTGAAGCAAGAAAGAGGCAGGCTCGCTCCCAGCCACCAGGGGCTCACGTGTTCTTCTGTTTGTGAAATGGGAACGTGTGCGTCTCCTTCAATTGTGTATTGGAAAAGTTTAATGATTGAACTTACATTAGCTCATTGCACCAATGCATCATCATTATTTCTCTTCGAATCGATAAAAACAGGAAAGAGAACAGGTTTACTAATTTACAAAGTAATTTCAGACTTTACATTGATCAGATAACTTTCATCGGTGGATATAATCACTGTGTGATTTTATATTCAGGCTCATTTCTCTTAACTCTGCTCATGTGAATCTAAAGCTCACACAAACTGTGTTTTTAATGTTAGTGTCAGGTCCTGGTGAAGTCACCTGTATACTGGCTTGGATATTCCCAGACTCCTCCTGGAGTTCCATTTCACTTATAATCAAAGGATAATGCGAGCAGATTGACAGCAACAAATGTGAATATATACTAAATACATATACACACATTTATACATTGTTCTAAGGGTCTTCAGCCTTTTTTATTTTTATTTTTTTACTTAACTTCATTATTGCAAAGTTCAGCAGTAAGCCTAGATCTGGACAGTGTACTTATCTTATGCCCTGAAACCATCAAAAGAAGCATGTTTACAACTTCAAATGTAAGCCTGTTCACCTCTCTCAAACCTGCGTCTGTGTGAGATGACATGGGCTGCATCTTTGGTGCTCGGGGACTCCTTCAGTCCGCTCTCACATGCTGTTCTTTCCTCAACTTTAATTGCTCACAAAGACACATTGTCCAGGGGCTGCACGGGCATGAAGGAAGAAATCAATGTTTTCCCAGAACATGATGAAAGGAATCGATTCCTGTGAGGCAGCTGTGCACCGGATGTAAACACAAGCTGAGAGCCGCAGTTAGAAGAGCAGAGGGAAGTGTGTTGTTGGAACGTTCAGAGGAGTTCAGAGGAGTGTAGACGCATCCAGGAGGGAGGGGCTGGAATAGCAGCACATGCAAGCGCAACTGATACGCACAACTACTTTAATATTTTAGTTTGTTTAATCAATGAGCAAATTTAGATGTAATAATAGTGCTTTTTGGACACTCTTCACGTTGTGTTATTCAATCACTCCATACACAGAGGTGATAAGCTACCGCTGTAGCCACAGCTGCCTTGACACAAGCGTGGCAAAAGGAATATCCCATCCGCCCCTCCAAGTCCCACCAAGATTTCCCAGACACACCAGACCTTCTCTAGGTAATATGGGTGAAGTGTCTGTTGGAATCTATTTCAGTTTTCGGTCATGGTGGTGTTTGTTTCAGCCCACTCATTCTGTGAAGTATTATTTTTATTCAAATGAATAAATAATTAAAATAAATAAAGTTTTAAGGCAAATATACCATCGACCAGAGATATATGCATGTGTACCTGTGCTTACATTATAAAGGTTTAGTCTACGGAATCCAGCGATCCCCATCCTCTCCCATGCATCTGTGCGACTTTGCTGCCCCACTTGGATCTCCCACCTGGTCCTCCCCCGGTGTCTGGGCGGTCCCACCTGGTGCTCCCTCATGCGTCTGTGCGGTTAGATCTTATTTATTTATTGTGGATGGCCCCTTGAGATGAATCATCTCTTTTTCGAGGGGGTCCGGTTATAAAACAAAGTTACATACATGACCACAAAGACAGACAAAACAATAAGCACATACAGTACATAAAGACAGAAAGAAAAAAAAAAGATAGAAAAAAAAACAAATAATAATAATAATAACAATAACAATAACAATAATACAAATAAATAATAATACAAAATAAATAAATAAAAAGAAAAAGATTTTGCTCTTCCACACCATGCCCATCTCAAAACCTTGTACACATCCACTCCTTAGGTAACTTTGGGTACAGCTATTACTTTTATTTATTTATGCCTTGAACGCTACTTAAAGCAGTCACATGCCGACTTAAGGTGTGTAGCTAAAGCAGTTTTAACACTGGTAAGTGAGGAAATAGTTTTTATCGAAACTGGGAGATCGTTCCAGTCCTCAGGGGCTCTGTAGCAGAAAGCGTGTCTCCCAATCTCCTTATGTACTCTGGGAGTAATGAAAGTGACATGCTGTAGATGTCTCAGTGCATATGAAGAGGTAGCTCTCACCAGATGTTTTTGGAGATAGGGGGGGCATTGACTAGCACCATTGACACATTTAAAGATAAAAATGTACCAATGGTAAAGTCTCCTTTCCTTTGCCTGCAGCCAGTTCAGTTGGTCATAAAGAATACAGTGGTGTGTCGTGAAAGGACATCTTAAAACAAATCTACAGACTGCATTATAAAGTAAATCCAGAGGTTTTAGGGTGGTTATGTTAGAACTGTGGAAAACGATGTCAGAGTAGTCCATTATTGGCAAAAGTAGTTGTTGAGCGATACGTTTTCTGGTTTCAAATGTAAAACATTCTATTGAACGATATAATTGACCCAAGCATTGCTTAATTTTTTTTCCAATGTAATCAATGTGTGGCTTAAATGTCAGCTCAGGGTCAATCCACAAGCCCAAATACCTAAAAGTGTCTACATTTGTTAAAGCTCTATCAGGAGTTATCTGAACATGGAGAGTAGGGGGTTGGGTTTTTTGATACCTTGTCTTGAACAACATGGTGCACGATTTTTTCACATTAAGAATGAGATTATGTTCTCTGAGCCATTTTTGAACACGATTAAACTCTAGCTGCAAGATATTTTGTATCTGAGTGACGCTGTCTTGAGATGTATAAATGACTGTATCATCAGCATATAGATGAACGTTTGAGGAAGAGCACACTTTGGGCAATTCGTTAATATATAACGAGAAAAGGAGTGGACCCAGTGATGAGCCTTGGGGCACTCCTTTTTCCATGAATGTGCAACTTGATTCAGTGTTTTGTATTGCCACATATTGCTGTCTTCCATGTAGATATGAGTTAAACCATAATAGTGCATTTCTGTCTAATCCCACTGAGTAAAGCTTATCTAATAATAAATAGTGGTCCACGGTGTCAAATGCTTTAGAGAAATCAATGAAAATGGCACCAGTAGGTTTCCCATGATCAAAAGCTGTAAAAACATCATTTGTAAATTTTAATTGTGCTGTAGTTGTTGAATGATTAGGCCTGAATCCAGATTGTGATGATGTTAGTATACCATTTTCTTCAATATATTTACTCAACTGATTAAAAATAATCTTCTCAAATATTTTTTGTATTGTAGAAATGATAGAAATAGGCCTGTAGTTATTCAAATCATTTGGTTCTCCTCCTTTGAAAACAGGTGTTACTCTTGCTAGTTTCCATAGAGGAGGAAGTGAGTTTGTGGAAATTGATAGATTATATAATTCAGCCAGGGGGAACATCAAGATGTGAGATGCATGTTTTATAAATTTAGATTCAATGCCATCTGGTCCAGTACTAGCACTTAAATTTAACTTTGTAATTGTTTGTAGTACGTCCCATGGTGTGATAACTTTAAATGAGAATAAATGTTGTGGTTTAGAATTCAGAAATGTTGCTTCTGAATAAGGGGTGGTATTTGCCTGAGAAATTGAAGAGAAGTATTCATTTAAGTTGTTTGCAATGTCCTCCGGGTCTGTTATGATGTTATTATTGACTTGCAATTGCTTTATTTGCTGTTTGTTCTTTTTATTTAGAATAGTGTTATTTGGTCCCAGAATTGTTTTGGGTTATTAAAACATTTAGTTGTGCAATTTTTATAGTAATCTGACCTTGCATTCCTTGTCCTTTGTACTTGTATTACGCAGCTGTTTATAAGTTTCCCAGTCTCTTGGATCTTTACTGGTACGATATTTAGCCCATGCAGCATCTCTCTGTTTATAAAGGGAGATAAGTTCAGAACTGATCCAGGCACTCCGATTTCCTTTCACTCTAATAGTTTTATATGGAGCATGTTTATTAATCACTTCCATGACCTCTGTGTGGAAGAAGTCCCACGCTTCATTTACTGTTGGTATGAGTGAGAGTCTGTTCCATTCAATGTTATTTATATCATAGTTGAAGTGGTCAACATTTAAATATTTGCACTGTCTGAAAGTAATATATTTAGGCGTGGATTTTAACATTCTAATTTTCCATACACAAAAAATTATTGAGTGGTCACTAAGACAATCAGACATAACTCCAGATGTAACTATCCTTTCTGGGTTAGTCACAAGTATCCAGTCAAGAAGAGTTGCAGTCTGTAGATTTACTCTTGTGGGTTCATTGATTAGTTGTGTTAAATTTAAGCTGCTGATGAGATTCCGTTCACTTATTGAAGAGCGGTCAAGCCAGTTATTATTGAAATCTCCTAAGATAATTAATTCATGATGTTTGTCCAGAGAACTAATAGTGGACAGTATATTTGACATAGAGCCAGAGGGAGCAGATGGCGGCCTGTATATTGTACAGTAGGTCCCATTCCGTTTTGTCGCCTTTCACGCGTGAATCACACGTGAGTCTCGTGTGATTCACGCGTCTTTTATTTTCCCCCCTCCCAGTGACGTTGCAATGACCAAAATAACCACCAGGTGGCACTTGTGAGCAGGGTTACATTGGCGAGTTTCTGCCCCGCACACAATGACAATCTGGTTAAAAGGAGCAACTCCTTGTAGCAGGCCAGTCTCTGGAATAACCCGCAGACATTAAAACTACTGCATACACTGATAAAAATAAATTTTAGGTGTACTAAATGTTATCATATAAAACTATATAATTCCTACATTGTTTATATAAGAAACTGTGTTTACTTACTTTTGCTAATTAAAATTGTGCACCAAAACGTGATTTAATCATTTAAAAAAGGGGTATTATATAGACACTGTAACAGTTACTTCAATTATAGAATTAGTCCATGTTCTATCAATGTGAAAATTAAAGCTCCTGTTTGAATTAGCACATGCGCAGTGTGACCAAGACGAACGCGCGATCACACGGCTGTCGCTCTCTCCCAGCCGATCCATGCTCCCAGCAGACTCGAACGAACACGAAGTGGAACGTGAAGTTTAATGTAAGTAACTTTTCAATTGTTTTTCATGTGACAGTATATTCATTCTTGTCTTTGGGTTGTGTTGCATTGTACACATGTCGTCATTGCGTCACATCAGCGTCGGCTAACATTATATTTTTAGATGCTAGGTATTTTTTCTCCTGCGTCAAAATGGAACTGAGAGATATTCAACTTTTCGTCACATGAAACAAGGCATAGCCTATGCTATGTTATCTAACGCTGGTTTAAAACTCAATTGAATATTAGTTTAGCGTTAATCGGACTTATTTCCATCTGCGGGAAATAAGGCACATGGTGTTTGCTAGCTTAGTTAAACAAGTTAACCATTTGAAAAGAACTAAATAATTTATTTTCTCATTTTCCTTGGAAGTAACACAAGGCTACGCAATGTAAGCAAATAAGTATAATACAGCTCGGAAACTTGTGTTGAAACAATCGCGTCAAATACTACAGTTCCCATCATGCTTTTGCTTTGTCACGTGTCCTCCTCAAACAACAACAAGCACAGGCTTGCCTGTGCTTTATTTAGCAAAGAGTTTGGTCTCGTTTCTCAAACGTAAATCTGGGCTGTGTACAGAGGACTGCGTGCTTCGGTATGTACAAACGACGCTGCGCGTGATTTGATTCATAGCGTAGTTAATGTTGTAGCGTAGCTTCTTCTGAGGCCAGTTTTCATTACTTTCATGACTGTCTTTCTTATATCGCTATGCACTCCACTAAACATGGCTGATACTTAGTTATTATTGCTTAACAAGTAGATACGTCTTTCCGTTTTTTTCGTTTGGAGACTGAAAATATATCCCAAAGCATTTATGTTCCCCCCGTGCAACTAAAATTGTATGAATTATTTGTGAATTTAGACAATTAAATAATAATTATGTGAACATTGTGAAATTAATCACAAGTAATGTAATGTTACAGTATATTTGACAATTTATAAATATTACATTATTTATATATTATACTGTAATGTTAAAGTATATTTTACAATTTTCTTTCAGATTCAGGAGAGAAGTGCTGATATTGACACCAGATCTTATACCCACCACTTCTACTTTGGTAGCTTCAATCAGGTAAAAATGTAACTATACATTTGATTTATAGTTTACTAACTGTATACAACATTGAATCCATATTTTTGTCTTGCAGGGGACCAATAATCAAGACTCAAAGAAGGAGAAAGATTAGAGACAGTAGGCTTTTTAGATGAGATGGCAATGCAAAGTTTGCATTGCCATCTCATCTCAAAAGAGATGGCAATGCAAAGTTGGAGAATCACCACCATTCCTCTTGAGCAGACCTTCATGTTCAATCTGGACAAATACACTCCAAATTTACTTTCTGTGTTTGCGAAGAAGGGTGGTGCTATCGGGGCAAAACTGAAACCTGTTTTGAACAAACAGATACAGGTATGTTTAGTCATAACTTATGCTGAGTACAATACATAATTTGTTCTTTCCCATTGATAAATCCCTGTTTTGGTGCTATTTACAGAACCAAACAATTGAGATGAGACGTGACAATGTGATTCGTGGTTTAATGCTCTACCTCGGTGAAAATGAGGAAGAACTCTTTCTAGATTGCCAGGTACCATTCTTGATATTTTTCTCCCCCATTCTCTCAAAAACTCAGGGTCGTCCTATTCCTCACATATTTAACCTGTTTTGTAAGAGTGAGTGTCAACACTTCAAATACACCAAACGAAATACAGTGGTAATTTAAAGCTCTCACTGTCAGAGTTTGGGAACTCACTGCTCTTTCTTTTATAAACTTGTTTTGATTGTTTTTTTATATTGTGCCACGATGATGAACTCCAATGTAATGTAACACAGCATGTTGACCCATGACAAAAACACACGTCCGTGTTTTGGAATCACCTTATGGCTGTGTCTATTATGACCTGTCTTGTGATTATTGATCAATCAAGTATAATGTTTGAAGAGAACAAAGGTAGTCTGAGGCACTCTGTTTTGGTGAAAAAATTAAAAGTCCTTTAATGAATTGGACTGCCTACGCATTTCGACCAACAGCGGTCTTTGTCAGGGCATAAATTAGATAAATAAAAAGATTTATGGCTATAGAAGTGAGCTATAGCTATAGCTATGTAAGCTATAGAGTGTATTTATCAAAGTAATTCTTCCTCTTTACAATTTACCCAGGCGCACTTAGAGGATGTTGGCCGGCACAAAATGAAGATCCTGGTCGTTTGTTCTTCCTCTGATGAAGAACCTGTGGATGTCTCTATTGTTCTCGACGGCAAGGAGATTGTGACTGGATGTGGAAATACTGCAAAGGCATGTGCACTGCTAATGGGTCTAATATATTCCCTCAATCTTGCTTATCCTACAACACTACGATACACCTTCGAAGTATTTCAGAAGATTTTCTTACATTTAGATGCATTTAAGCCATCCCCGAAAATACAAACACTGAAAGTCAAGCTACTGTCCAAAACATAAGAGAAGCAATTTTGTTCAGCATAAGAGAAAAGGCCACAGATTTTATATAATTTGATGTTGTTACTTTAGCTTAGACTCTAGCTTAGACTAGAATATGAAAATTAGTCATTAAAACATGGACATGTTAAATTAATTGACTATTCTTGAATCTAGTAACTCC